CCCCCCTTGAATAATATTCTTTCCGACCCTGTAGATTTGGATTCCCGGATTCCGAAAACATTTAGTCTACTTTTACAAAATTCAGCTGTATTCTTGAAATAGTCTGTCCGACCGAAAAAAATCAAAATCAATAAAGACCGTCATAGTTTTATCATGCATTCATCGTTAGTCTATACGTACATGTTTAGACCAATACAAAACTGTGCATAAGACCAGTGTACTGTCACCATTGCATTACTACTTCGGTTTCAAGAAAACACGAACCGTTCCTTGAATCTTCAATGGTAGATAATCATCAAGACTCAAAAATCTGCAGTGTGACAAATCATAAATTCATATATAAATTATACTCGTCATTTTTATAGCATTAATCAGTCAACTTTGGTTACAAAAATGACTGACTTTTCATGATTTCATAACTATCAGTTTTTCAAACATACTCAAAAATTGCTTTTTTTTCATTTAGGTTGTAGCACCTGAATATAAGTTTAATTGTCAATGTTCGTGCGGTGACGATAGTGGTGATATAAAACAATCAATTAAATTTAGTTTAACAGGTTCTCCAAATATACAGTTAACATGTAATGATCCTGATCTATCTAATCCAACATCTAGTGACTCAGAACTAAAATAATGACAGAGGGCGTTAATAATATACGTATAGGCTCCTAAAGGAGCCAATATATAATTAGAATATTTTATACTAATTGACCGAATAAGATATTAATGAATATTGATAGTTACTTTTTTTCTCTTCGGTAGACTAATGATAATAACAATAACAATAATAAACAAATGAGTGAGAAAGATTCTTGTATAAGACAGGATGACAGTGATGGTGAATCTGTAAATGGTGACGAAAATGATGATATCTGTGATGGTCATGACCTGAGTGACTTCGATGATAGTGAGGTAATCATATTTATTTACTTATGACGATAAAGTTAGCATTTCTTTTTCTCTTAAGGATAATCGCAGCTTTATAACTGTTGGTATATGTGCACAATGGAAAAAAGTCAAAGCAAAACCCATGGAAGAAATTTTGCATCGTTTAGACCAATTTGAATTTATTCGTTTAATTATTTTTTCCGAAGCAATGATACATGAAAGCCCTATTGAAGATTGGCCATTTTGTCATGTTTTAATTAGTTTTCATAGTAAAGGTTTTCCATTAGCTAAAACACAACAATATGCACGTCTTCATGAACCATTTCTTATTAATGATCTTGATAAACAATGGGATATTATGGATCGTATTAAAGTACATGAAATACTTAAAGATGCTGGAATAGCACAACCACGTTATGGTATTGTTAGACGAACTATGGATGCTGGTAAATAAATATTTAATTATTATTAATTTATCTTTACGAAAAAATTTTCTTTTTTTACTAGATGGAACCTGGCAAACATTGTCTAGTGTTAATGAGCAAGATGATCAAATTGAAATCGATGGTGAAATATTTCATAAACCATTTGTAGAAAAACCTGTGTCAGCTGAAAATCATGATGTTTATATTTATTTTCCATCATCAGCTGGTGGTGGCTCACAAAGATTATTTCGAAAGGTATTAAAAAATTGAATATTTGAAAAAAAAAATGTCTGAAAAACATCCATTATGAAAAATAATAAGAGTATATTCGAAAACAAAACATGAGTAATATTTCAGTTTCTTGATTATTATATGACTACTATTTAAGTGATCACTAAAGTAAATGAAATAGTCAGTAAAAAAAATATGTAAATGGTCAGTTTATTAAATATAAATAGCGGTAAAAAAACATAAAGTTTATCAGTAGAAAATAAGTCTAAATAAGTCAAAAAAAACAGAATTAATAAGAAAAAACTTAAAGAATAATTATGAAAAAAGAAAATGAAAATTGAATTAGTATATTAGTAAAATAGATTTAACTTTTGCTGATCTATCGCCTTTTCTTGTCTCACCGATTGACACTGTCTTTGCTGCTGGTGGTAGTTTACAATATTTCAAACGAATAGCCATATCTACAGACTCTTTTTAGATGTCAATTTAAAGATTATCGAAGATAAATTGAAAATCTTTTGTTTTTTCATTCGAACATATTGCTTAACCAAATGCATGAAATGCTTTATTCAAATCAATTATTCCAATAACTAGTACTGGAAAACATCGTCATACTATCCATGTTTTCGATTACGATTATATTGCGACGCAGTTACGCCGCAAATGTGATTGCATTGTGACCCTTAATTACGACGTAGTTACGCATCACTACATTGCAATTGCTAAAAAAGAGACAACATGAATAATTTATAAATAGCATCAGCATGTATATTTTATGACATAGATGCGATCTTGAGCATACGAACATATAACATAAAGATATGAAACTTGTTTCCATCATCATATAATATCTTGTACGATACAACAAAAGATTCGTTTTCATCAATTGAAATATTTTTGGTTATTTTTATATCACTGTTCTAATTCATCTAAACTTATTTTATATGAACTAAATTCCTTTTTCATATAATAGATAGACAAGATAATTGTTTAGCTGTGCTAATGCCAGTACATCTATTTATTTTTATTGAAGTGCTCGAAAAATTAATTTTGGTTTCTTTATACCACCATCAAATAAATCTTCTATGTCATTTTTAATATTTTCATCAAGATCACGAATTTCGTCATTATGATATTCATGTTCATTTGCCGTTTCATAAATGATTACTTTATCATGATTTGCATGATATAGCATATAAATACTTGCACGACATTGAGGATCACGATGTTTAGCTTTCTTGCATTTGTAATAAGCATTTCTGCCATCTTCTTTATAGTTTGTGTAATATTTTATCTACTGATTTTCAACTGATATTTCTGCTTCGCCAGTATTATCAAATATATCTTTTTTAACCCAACATTTTGATTCCCTTTGTTTTTAAAGAGTTCTTCTATTTCCACTTATTTCATCATCTTCTTCCATCACCTCTTCATCCGATAGATCGCTTTCATATTGAGAAACTGGTACCGCTTCCATAGTTACGAATACGTCAAATTTCGTAAACTGGAAAATATGTTATCTTTATTTGAAAAACACTAAATATTTATACATGGAGATCGATAAAGATAACAATAAGAGAAGAAGTCGAGAAGCTACTTCGCGTTTGTTTTAGAGAATGAACAATAAGAAGAATTAAAACAATGAATCTTCTTATTCAAAAAATATGTAGATTAGAAGAAGTAAGTCGAAACAATCGAGAACATATGTAGAACAGTTGAAGAGAAAGAAGGAGAAAAACAAAAATAATTCACTTTATAATCAATTCAATTTTTATACTAAATCTTTAATATAATCGACTGTTAATAAATTGTATTTACTGATTTTTTTAATCTATTTACAAATCTAATTAATTAATACTGACCGTTTAAATAATTTACTGATCATAAATCATATTTTCAAATTTTATTATTGTACCAAATTATATTTGTTCAAATTTCAGTGCATAAGTTTTGATAATTATACATGACTTTGATTCGTACATTAATATAAACTCACATCATTTATTTATAAAGTATCGTTTGAAAAACTTAAGATAAGGTTATTCGACAGATAATATTTATTGTTACCAATTCGATTAATCAATATACAGTGTAATTTCAGAAAAAATTACTTTATTATGCTACTATTTACTGTTAATTTGTACTAATAATGTTTTTTTTTTTGTTTTTTTTCTACTTCTTCATTTATTTATTTTCTTTAGATTGGTAGTCGAAGTAGTGTATATACATCAGAGAATAGTGTTCGTAAAGATGGTTCATACATTTATGAAGAATTTATGCCAACAGATGGTACAGATGTTAAAGTATTTATTTTGTTAATTTATTGTTTCTCAATTTGAATAATTATTTTTCTTGTAGGTATATACCGTTGGTGCTGAATATGCACATGCTGAAGCAAGAAAATCACCAGGACTTGATGGTAAAGTTGAACGAGATGAATTTGGTAAAGAAGTACGTTATCCAGTTATATTACGTGCTGATGAAAAATTAATTGCTATGAAAATATGTTTGGCATTTAAAGTATATGAATTTAATAAGAAAACATATATATATAAAAGAATTTATTTTTCAGCAAGCTATATGTGGTTTTGATTTACTTCGTACTGAAGGAAAATCATTTGTATGTGATGTAAATGGTTTTAGTTTTGTTAAAAACAGTACTAAATATTATGATGACTGTGCATCGATTCTTGGGTATTTTTCAAAAGAATTCAAATTAACTAAAACCAACAAAAAAATTTCTTTTTGTTAATTTTCAAGACATATGATACTGCGTGAACTTGCACCAACATTTGCTATTCCATATCCAATAGATTACCAACCTGATGATCCACCTTTTGTACCAACTGCACTGGGTACAAGAATGGAACTTCGTTGTGTTATTGCTGTCATTCGACATGGTGATCGAACACCAAAACAAAAAATGAAAATGGTTGTTCTTCATCCATTGTAAGACATACAATGACTGACAGCGATCTACAGTAGTTGTATTTTTGAGTTTTTTTCTTGATGATTATATCTAGGAAGAATTTGAGAAAACAGTTGAATAGCTGAAAGAACTCTCTGTTAGGATTGATGAATTTAAAAATTCTAGCAAAATTACTTCAATGAGGATGTCTGGAAAACGGAGACTTCCGAAATCAATTGTCGAGCATCCATTTGAAGTTTTTTGAAATAGATTTATTTAATAGAGCAAAATGAGATATCTCTCCTCTCTTCATGACCTTCCTTCACTGAACTACATTCAATCTACAGAAAATCCAAGAAGCATTTTTGTTTTGTTTTTATAAAAAGTTTCAATGACTTGGTTATGTTTGATGCTTTAGAGCCTTCTATAAATTGAATGCAGTTCGGCGAAGAGAACTGACGAGGGAACCTTTTCAACTGTCCAATCGCTTTTGAGTTCGAACTCA